TTCTCTTTCTCCAGGTCCACCATCTTCTGGGTCAGGGCGGCCTCGGTGCCTTCAATCTGCTTCAGCCACTGGAACACAGTGGGGTGGGCACAGGGGTAAGGATGGTGCCCCCGGGACCCCCCTCATCCATGTCGGGTGTGCCTGGGGCCCCCTCACCAAGGAGGACAGCAGCTGGGCTGTAGCACACACACAGACGCGTGCACAGGTGGTTGGTGCGGCCGTGGGGCAGTCACGAGGCTCAGGTGTGACGCTGGCAGTCTGTAGTGTGGGGGCATGGATTCGGTGCACGGTGAGCGAGTGTGGGGCATGGGTGTGAGCATCTGTGAGTCTGAACGAGTGAGGGGGCGCAGTGTGTGCCAAGTCTCCAGCTCTCCCACCTCCCTCAGAGAAGCGTTCCCATCCCCACTGCAGATAAGGACACTATCACAGCACAGGGAGCAGAAGTTTGAGCTCAGCCGGCACCTCCAAAGCCACCACCAGTCCCAGGCCAGCATGGGGCGCTTGAGCAGTCAGCACTCATGGGATGTAGGCTGATGGGGGAGTGCCACAGTGCCAGGCGGGTGTGTAGAGCTATGCATGGTGAGCAAGTGTGCAAGAGCCCCAGGGCTGAGCACGAAGGCACTGAGAGCACATGGTGGACCACAGACAAGCTGTGAAGGTGTGGGGTGCACCTGCAGGGGTAGGTACAGGTGGTTGCATACCTGAGGGTAAGGTACAGGTGGGTGTACACCTGCAGGGGCAGGTACAGGTGGGTACACACCTACGGGGGGAGGTACATGTGGGTACACACCTGCGGGGGTAGGTACAGGTGGGTGCACACCTACAGGGGCAGGTACAGGTGGGTGCACACCTACAGGGGCAGGTATAGGTGGGTACACACCTGAGGGGCAGGTACAGGTGGGTGTACACCTGCAGGGGCAGGTACAGGTGGGTGCACACGTGCGGGGTTAAGTACAGGTGGGTACACACCTGAGGGGCAGTTACAGGTGGGTGCACACCTGCGGGGGCAGGTACAGGTGGGTACATACCTGTGGGGATAAGTACAGGTGGGTGCACACCTACGGGGGCAGGTACAGGTGGGTACACACCTTAGGGGCAGGTACAGGTGGGTGTACACCTGCGGGGGCAGGTACAGTTGGGTGCACACGTGCAGGGTTAAGTACAGGTGGGTATGCACCTGAGGGGCAGGTACAGGTGGGGTGCACACCTATGGGGGCAGGTACAGGTGGGTACACACCTTAGGGGCAGGTACAGGTGGGTGCACAACTGCGGGGGCAGGTACAGGTGGGTGTGCACCTGAGGGGCAGGTACAGGTAGATGTGCAACTGAGGGGCAGGTATAGGTGGGCTGCATCCCCACGGGAGCAGGCACAGTGGGGAGGGCCTGCCTCTGTTCTCAGTCTGTGCTGGGGGTGAGTGTAGGTGGCAGGCACCTTTCTGAGGGAGCAGGCATGTGAGCGTGTCTTTATGGGGAGCACACCTAGAGGGGAGACAGCCCACTAACAGGTGACGAGCTCTGGGGGGCCAGCTGTGTCTGCAGGTTTGGCCCATGTTGGAACCAGCACCTAACCTCCTTGTAAATCCACACACTTCTCAGCCTGTGGGCCCCTGACCTCAGCCAGGACTCAGCTGCTCACCTGCCCCTTCCTGCATGCCTGCTTGTCTGGGTTGGTCACCTGCACTCTCGGACGTACGCCCTGCCCTAGGCCTCCCCCCTCGCTTTGGACAGCCCCCAGGCACCCACCTTCCCCCATGCCCTCCCTGCTCCCCACTGGAAACGCCTCCCCCCGGCCAGGTCCTCTCCTGAGTATTACCTGTGCACCTGCCAACCCTCCATCCTCAGCCCCAATCCCTCCACCCTCTAGCCCGTTCTCTCAGAAACACTCATCTGCTCCCCACCAACCCCTCCGAGGACACCCACCGCAATCTCCCCTCCCTCAAACCCCGGCCATTCACCTGAGCCCCCTGCACTGAAGGACCTTGTGCGTGCTGCCCCAGCCCCAGGCCCTTCTGAGCCAACACCTACTCAGCCTGCAAGTCCCAAGTGAGCTGACACCCCTTCCAGGAAGCCGACCCTGCTTGCCTTTCCACGAGCCAGGTGCCCCCTGGAACCCCCATCAGCTGTGATTGCTGTCACACACCCACCCACGTCTATCACCTCCCCACCAGCCTTCGAGGGCGTGAGCCTGCACCCGGCTTTGGGACGCAGGAGTGTGGCTGGGAGGGCGTGGGGTTGGTGTGCGTGGTGCCAGCCCCATCACAGGGGCTCCCTCACAGCAAAGCAATTTGTCCCCAAGGGCGGGAGCAGTGGAGGCAGCCCCAACGGGCCCCCAGTTAGATCATGCTAAGAAAGGACGTGCTGTTTCTGAGGGACAGGTAAGTGTATTTTTTTTAATGGGAAATCGGAAATATTTCATTTTTAATATCATAAAATGAATAAAAATTTAAATGGAAAAGAAACCCATTTGGATCATCGAATCCAGCTGCTCTCAGGACAGGGTTTGTAGAACATGGTGTCAGGTTTTCTGTTGTTGTTAAACAGAAAAAGACTTGATGTGAAGAGAAACTCGACAAGTCCTGTCAGCCACAGGGAGAGAACGGGTGAGACGGGGCCGCGAGGCTCCTGGGGCAGGTGAGACACAAAACCCGCGGCTGTGGAGTCGGCCCGACCCCTGGTGACCCCACAGGACAGAGTAGAACTGTCCCATAGGGTTTCCAAAGCTGTAAACTTCACGGAAGCAGACTGCCACATCTTCCTCCCGCAGAGCAGCTGGTGGGTTAAAACTGCTGACCTTTTGGTTGGCAGCCGAGCGCTTTAACCACTGCACCACCGGGGCTCCTTTCAGTTAGTCACCGAGCGCATTAACCATCTGCACCGAGGTTCTCCAGAAAACCAAAAAGACTGAACCTGTGGCCACTGAGTCCATTCCAACTCACAGCGACCCTGCAGTACAGAGTAGAACTGCCTCATGGGGTTTCCAAGGCGGTAAACTTTACGGAAGCAGGCTGCCACAGCTTTCTCCCACAGAGCGGCTGGTGGGTTCGAGTCACTGAGCTTTCGGTTAGCCGCTGAGCACTTAACCACTGCACCACCAGGGCTCCTGGGTGAAGCACAGCTTAGCACTAAATGGTTCAACCAATACTCACTGAGCCCAGGCTGCAGGAGGAGGTGTAGACGGGGCCTGCCCTCCCCCAGCCCCTGCTCCTCCAGGAGAGAGACAGCCCGATGGGCAGGCCGGGAGGGACTGGGTGCTGGCCCGGCCTCCTCGGCCTTTTTTGGAGTGAACCTGTGCAGGGTGGGGGCTGCCCCCCATCTCTGTCCTTGGGGGTTCCCCCAAGCCTCCCTGTCCCCTCTTAGGGCTCCTCAGGAGCAAGGCAGTGGCACCCCAGGCAGCCAGGATCTGCTCACTCCCCCAGACCCAGCTGTCCCTTTGGGAGCCAACTACGAGAAAGACGGATGCTTTTCACATCCTCAGTCCATGTTCCCAGTAAGAATGCTGTGTTTCCATCTGTGCGTCATTTCCATCTTTATAGCCCCGTCTGTCCTTCTCAGTCGGATTTGAACTTGAGGGAGAAGAAGCAGGACTAAGTCCCTATAAGTGCTCAGGTGTCTCACGCTCTCCGCCCGGCGGGGCCTCAGAGGTGTCAGCGTGTGGGCCGACCTCAGGATGACGACAGTCAGGTGTGGGCCTTACAGGCTGCAGGGCAGGTGGCCTGGGCAGAGGGGAGCCCCAGGTGAGCTCCTTGCTGGAAACCATGGCACACAGGACCTGCCAACCAGCTCAGGCAGCGCTTCGTTTATCTGCTAACAAGTTTGTTTCGTGCCTCTAAATGGAAAGGTGAAGTTGACTTAAATTTCTTCAGATGCCAGCACTGAACGGCAATTTTTAAAATAAGGGCGGGGGGTGTCTTTGGCTGAGAGAGGACCAACTGAGGCCTCGGTCGATGGTGGCTCCACAGGGGCTGGGGTCTCTCTGTGAATATGTCAGCTCCGGGGACCAGTTGTCCACGGGCCAACGCACTTCAGTCTTGGCACTGACAGTTGTACCCCTGGAAACCCCTCGCTCCCAGGGAAACAGGGCAGTGAGTTCCCAGCTGTCAGACTGGCGTTCCCAGGGGTCCCGCTGGCCCCGCTTCCACTCGATCCATGGCCCACTGCCCCCTGAGGGGCACTCGGAGCCCCGCGTGTTGTGTGGACCGTGGCTCTGACGGGGAATGGGTGCCTGTGGCCCTGCACTGTCTGACAAGGACCCTTTACACGTGGAGCAAATGCAGGACCTCTGGGGGAGGTGGGTTCCTCTGCCCTGAGTCGGGGCCCAGGAAGCAGCACCCTGGCTTCATGGGATTGGGGTGGCTGCACATTCTGGGGTAGTTCAGTGCACAAGCGAGGTGCTGGCTGATCCACCAGGCAAAGCTCTGGAGGCGACCACAGACGGCTGCAGCTGGCATGGGGCTGGCCCAGGTGGGCAGAGACCAGCTGGGTGTGGGCGGGGCTTACAGCCAGGTGAGCAGGACGGTGACCACAGTGGGCATAGCCAGCCACTGACGTCATAGGACCCTGGGAGGATGAGAGACCTGGGGGCCTGAGAGTAGCCCCCGCTGTGGTCTAGAACACCGGCTTTATTGGCAGTGGGAGGAGCAGCCAGGCAGGCTCATCTCAGGAAACGAGTTGGAGTGAGCGCCCGACCCCTCCGCCCTGCCGTCCCCCATCCTGACTCCTGCTGCCTGGCCACAAGCCCTCTGTGAAGCATCACCCAAGTTCTGTGAGCATGCCGTGCCCCCCAAGGGGCACCCACGGAGGCTCAGTGACCCCTGTGGACCGCCCAGATCCCAGGCAGGGGCCTCACTGTGGACAGGGGCAGGCCTGGCAACTCTGACCCCCACCCCCGTCAGGTGAGCCGGCGTCTAACGAGCACTCAGGTGTCACTGTGTGGAGCGCTCAGGTGAGCTGTGGCCTTTCATCAGCACAGGTAGCCCTGTGGTTTCTCAGATGAAAAGAAGCATTTACGGAATGTGTACAGTCCACCCGGCACCAGGTGTGTGTCATCATCACCCGGTGTCCCGCCAGCCAGGTGTGTGTCATCATCACCCGGTGTCCCGCCAGCCAGGTGTGTGTCATCATCACCCGGTGTCCCGCCAGCCAGGTGTGTGTCATCATCACCCCGTGCACCTGAAGCGGGGACTCAGCGAGGACAGGTGGCCTGGGTCAGGGACAGCTAGGACGAACGCGTGACCACGTGTGACCACGAGCCCTGGGCAGGTGGCGCCTGTAGACTGTCTCCAGCATCGACTTGGGGTGGAGAGGAGGGGCAGGCATCGGGGAGGAAAACGGTTTCTATTTTAAATGCCTCCCCAAAGACACTGGAAGGAATCCCAGTTAAGACCACTAAGACCCCATCTTTATAGAAAAGTGTCTCCTTCCCTCACGTGTGACTCACGCTCTGGAAAAGAAAGCTGTACAGAGCGAGCCACACAAACAGTGTGCACATCTGAAACTTGCCGGACTGCGGCAGAAGCAAGCAAACCAGGACTGGATTCTCAGCAAATACAGAAAAAGTCGGTATTTTAATACATGAAACACTTGGAAGTCAGTAACACAAACTACAATTACACACAGACGGGTTTGTTGAATGAATGAATGAACAAATGAACCCCAATGGAAAATCCTCAAAAGAAACGTAATTACAGTTCGTGGGAAGGAGAACAGAACAGAAAGCATGCAGCACAAAGCTCACTTTCACCGGCATTAAGTACCCGGAAGTTAAAACAGCGACATGAGACCCCGTTCACCTACGGAGTCACAGAGTTCCGTCTGCTCGGGGCCATCGTGGTACGAAACAACAACGCTGGCCCCGCTTTTCTGGGAAACATTTTGACAATATCAAAGCCCTTATAAATGCTCTTGCCATTTGGCCCAGGATTCTACATCTGGAATCTGTCCTATGAAAGTGCTTTAAAATGGAGATAGAAATTTGTGTGTAAAGATGCCCACCACTGAGTGATGGCAAACAGAATAAGGAAAGACCCTGACATCTAACAGCTGAGGAATGATTAGGAAGTCAGGGTTCGACCCGGTGATGGAACAACGTGGCCATCAAAACCGCTGGGTGTGAGCCATTTTGAACGATGCAGGGGCCACTGAAAAACAGGCTGCGAAACTGTGTCAGGCGTAAGCTCCCCTACGTTACAGAAAGGGCGCGGGAACACGGCTGGGAGGAAACACACCAGCGCTGTGCTATTTATTTATGTCCTCACGAGCCCTCTAAGGCGGCCTATCAGCGGGAAGTGTGTGCTGCTTTCAGCTGGAACACAGATAGCCAAGTGCATGCAGACACAAACGCAAAGCCGACCAGAGCACATGGACCAAGCAGGGAGACACCCATGTGGTTTCTGTATGGAGCTGGGTGGGGGGATGGGGGAACGGACAGACACCGACACCCATGTGGTTTCTGCATGGAGCTGGGTGGGGGGATGGGGGAACGGACAGAC